AGGGAGGGAAAGGGGGGGGAAGCGGGGGAGCAAAAAAGCAGGAAAAGGAAGGGGGGGGGGGGGGGGGGTGTACTCATAGTCGTGCATGCCGTAGTCGTTTGACCATTGACCTCGCATCCCTACAAAGCCGGGACGGAGCACGCCGGGTTCTCACCGGACCAGGCTCTCACATCACCAAGCGCGAAGCGCCGTGAGGTATTTGGCGAGTCGCATGAAGGGTGAGCTGCATCCTGCTAAGGGTGTTCGGCATCTTGTGCTTACTTCCTTGCGTACGGATGACAGTTACGTATGACTTAATTTACTTTCAAGCGGGGGGGGGGGGCTTTTTTCTGTTGGATTGTATTGGAGGCTAAGCGGAGTTGTAGGGCTTGGAATCACGGTTGGGTTGTCGCTGTCTGGACGGAGACCCCATGTGGCTGGTTCTCTCTGTCTCTGTCTCTCTCTCTCCCCCCCCCTTCTCTCTCTCCCACGACTTGTGAGGTACCAAGGTTCCGCACAGGGGAGCACTGAGACAGACACGGCCCCCGCACCAACGGAAACTCAACAGAGCACCATGTCCTGTCCCACCCTCGCTCAAAAACAGACGTTTCATTTCGTCTCCCCGTGTATGCAAAGATGGAGTTCTTTTCTAACCAACGCAACTGCTGTCTATCGAGTGGTGGTGGCATGGGCTGTGACATTTCTGGCTTGGTGCCTGTGAGCTACTTGCTGGTAACCTGCGCGCCCCCTTACGATCCAGCAATGCCGCTACCATGCCTTGCCTTGACCTGGAGGTCAAGGACCTGGGAGTCCCCCGGGGTCGAGGCTATTAGACCCCGGCTTTGTGTGGCGAGAACGAGAGAGCGACCCCAGCCGCCCAGAAAAAAAAAACAGAGGATTCTACCAACAGCGAGAGATCGGACGGCAGCAGTGTCCTTCCTGCTTCTCAAATACAAGGGCCCTCTCTCTAGGCGTACGGCTTTATTGGTATGAGGAAGGACATCTGGCTCGGAACCCTTGCCGTGTGCGTGCGCGTGCGCTCACCCCCGTGCAGCCGTAGGAGTCCCCGTTGTACACCACGTAGTACGGCGTGAACTGTGCGCTCTTCCCGAGAGTCTTGACCACCTCCTTGAAGTCGCGCTTGAAGGGCTGCATCGTCAAGTACGCCAAGACACGGTTCGCCCGTCAAAACACAGCCCAAAACAAAACGAAGAACGACAGCAAAAAAATTAGACTCGTATCTTATATGCCACATGAGACTCTTCGGCGAACAGACCAAACGGATCGTCGAATACGGAGGGAGGGAGGGGGGGGGGGGGGGGGAACGAGCTCAACAAGTCAACAACAGTCGAGCGAGAAATGAAAAAATACGCAGCCCTCCGGTCCGTTCGAATGGGTGGCCGAGGAGGACACGAGGAAGCGTTTGCAACGGACAATCATCAACCGCGCGCAGGCACGCAGCAAGTCTCACAGGACGTACCCATTGCCCATAAACTTCGCAGCTCACTAAATCTCCACGTAGACTGGAGGAACGAGGAGTACGTGTATTCGCGACCGCAAACCACCACCACACAGCCGCAGCAACAACGAAAAACAACCACCAACAGCCACGGCAACTCCTTGGACAACGACAGCAACGCGGCCACAATATCAACAACAATCCAAAGCTTCACCAACACCAACGCACCGCTGCAGACGTGTCCATGGCGGAGGTCCACAGCGACCACTCCACACGGTCGTCGGGGGCAGGCAGGGACCAGGTCATCTCGGCCTGGACGCTCTGCCCACCCTCCAGCCGGTTCTTGATAAGAGTCGCGTCCATCTTCTTCATCAGGAAGCTTCGTGCGCAAGGGCCGGGCGGGCGTTGAAAGCAACATTCAGTGCCAGCGAAGGCAAGGGAGAATTGAAAACAATACTGAGTAACAGCAAAGGCAGGCGAGGTTGAACTAAAAAAACACACATGATAATCTTGTTACTAGGTCTCGCCCTAAGACATGACGTAGGTATCTGAGGCAGCAAGCACGTCGAGCAGTACTAGTCCGGCCGCTGTTTCTCTTCCTCTCCTTCGGAACAAAACGATTTCATTCGAGGGCTGTTCCGTGGCGCTTCGGTGTTGGCCCCGTGAAGAAACACCGATCTCCAACATCTTAACCAGCACCTCTTTCCGCATGTACAGCACAGAACAACGCTCGTGCTTTGCTGCATACCCTCGGCCAACGTCCGCATCGCTCGCGAGCAAACCTACACACAACTTCGTGCTATTGCCTTCTTTTCTTGGCATTTCCTTGGTGGTTACGCAACACACGAAATCAACCTCCGACGCATAACTCCCCCCCCCCGGCCGCCGGCTCACCTGGGTATGGTGATGTCACCGCCCGAGCCATCGTCGGCCATGATGGGTTCCACCTGTTCGCAGGGGGTGTCGCCGGACTTGTTGCAGATGCCGCTGGCCTCGTCCTTGCACAGGCACGTGTTGTCCGCGATGATCACGCCGATCGCCCCCATGTGCTGCGCCTTCCGCACCTGGGTAAACGACGGCGTTGACGACGGCCAGCGGGCCGGCCGGCAGGCAGGCACGGAGGGAGCCACAGAAGACAACAGCGGGCAGCAGGGAGGGACGGGGACGACGGAAATCAAAGCAAGAAGAGAGTTCCAGCCCTGCAGACTCCGAAGTAAGACAAAACAACAACAACAACTGCAACAGCAACAACACTACCCACGGACCGAGGAGAGCATTTTCCAAACTCTACAGTACCCCAAAGAGGCAGTCAGAGCTCACAGCATGAACAAAAAAGAAACAACAACAACATACAGTATGAACTGGGCACACGAAAAATGTGGCAGGGTAAAAGAAAAAAAAAGCTCCTTCAAAAGACACGGAAGTATACAGGTTGTCTAGCGTAGCATAGACAAACTGGAAGAGACTTCTACTCATGTACAGTACGGCAAGCGGGGGCCCTACAAGCGCCGGCAGCAAAGGATTGAGACAACTTTTCCAACAACAAAAAGAAGGCGCGCTGACACGTTGCAGAACACACACAACAACACACACCTGACGTCTTTTCATTGGTCAGCCGGTTCGCGCGGTCGATGCCAACAAAAACAAAATGACACGCACACAGGCACAAAACACCGACCTTGCTGGCGAAGGTGCAGTCCCCTCGGTCCACCATGAGGATGAAAGGAGAGTCCGTCGGCACCATGGGGACGTCCTTCACGTCATCATCGCTGCACAGAGTCCACGTCCTTACTGACTGACCCGGGTCCACGCCGCCGTGCACGATCCTCTGCCAGACAAAGGGCCGGCGGGCGGGCGGGGGGGGGGGTACGGGGGAGGTGTGAGGGCGGGGTTCCAGTCTGAGAGAAAGCATGGTAGCTGCTTAGCCGGCGTGTTGGCTGATTGTATGCACCCTCTCGTGGCTATTGGAAGACGACGGGCTCGTTCATGGTTCGAAACATAACGAGCGATACCAGCAGCGCCAGAGGCAATTTACCGGCCGCACACGGAGGTTACGCAAGTCATTCGGGGGCGGGGGCAGGGGGGGGGGGGACCAAGTGTTACACGTGGCGGAATAGGGTGGACCATCAGTCGCTGTGCCGAGGAACATCGATCTGTCCCTTTTTGGGTGCGCGCGCACGGTAGGCACGCAAGAGATGAGGACACCCCGCCCTCGCCAACGATGAAAAAAATGAGAAAACGGACGGACGGGGGGGGGGGGGGGATCCATTCTCTGTGCTTCCTCGTGTTGCGTACGCCAGGCGGCACCGCTAAATCATTATATAATTTCTTCCGTACTGTGTGCAATGCCGTTCTGTCCGTCAAACAAAGCAAAAAAAAAATGAGAACAACGCGGTTTTTGTCGTCGATCTGATATGATATACTTCTATCTATTCTTCCTTCCCTGCGGCGATGTAGACCTGTAGACCCCCTGACGTTCGCACACATCCACGGAAAAAACAGTCGCAGTCCATGCAAATACCTAAGCAAAAGAGAGGACAGGAGCGGCAGCCTCATAGAAGTCGAAGTCAAACCCTAGTCAGCGCTGACTAGTCTAATGATATGATTTCGGCTTCTATAGCCCACAGCAGTAGATAAATTAAGCCTCGCTGCTCCAGCTACACTACAGTACTAGTAAGTTCTAATAATAATACGACATCGCTTCTCACCTCGGCAATGGTCCCGCCGTACTTGGGGATGCCGAACAACGCCTCCTCGTGCGCGTAGCCCTCGTCGCGGTACAGCACACTCGGGATGGTGAACTGCAGCCGAGACCCGGAGCTCTGCTTGTCGTCATCGTCGTCGTCGTCGGTCGTCGTTATTGTTGTTGTTGTTGTTGTTGTTGTTGTTGTTGTTGTTGTTGTTGTCGTTGTCGCCAAGGGATTCGCCGCCGCCGCCGCCGCCAACGCCGCCGCCGTGCGTGCCGTCGTTAACGCCGAAAACGAATGTGGGGGGGGTACAGCAGTACTCATGTAAACTTATGCCGAAGTCGTTAGACCAACGGGGCAAGCATCACTTCGACGCATGGCCGAGGTGTGCGGCGTGCTGCGGTGTGGCTGCTGCTGCTGCTGCTGCATCACAATCCAAGATGTGACCGGGGGAAAAACACCCAACAACTGACGGTGTCGAATCGAGGTGGTGGGTTTTCACAAAACAATTTTGTACGCGCCTCAACAACCGCTAGCGCCGGCAGACTTCCATCTCACGCCACAAGGACATCTGTACACCATACTTCACTTTGAAGAATTCAAAATAACTAGCAGTGGAAGATTAGAGACCACGCCCCCACGAGCCAGCGCACAGCCAACAAGACGGGCGTTGGAGTTCCCACTTCCCCCAAGATTTTACAGTGGTTATAGCGCTCGCACTCAAGAACTTGACAGCAGTCAAGAACAGAAGAAACACCATTCTCAACACGATCGCGAAACGCAAGAACATGAGCACCAGTTGTGAGCCCGGCTAAGTGCTACATACGCTATAAACAACACCAATATAGCGGCCATTTTGTAGCCCACAAAAAACACAGCCCTCGGAACGAAGAATCCCAGCCTCCGCCAAAAACTGGAGGTTCTCAAGCGCGGGGGCTGCGCCAGCTGCATTCGTCATCAAGTTCGTACTGCTGCAACACTTGCTTGGTTCTTGTATGCGCGCATCCTATTATTACACAAAAGCCTGCCTCTGTTCACCGAAGGGTCTGGACTCGTGGCCCTCTCGCACAAGATGGCAGTGGTTATGGATCTTTCCGCGGTGCATGCGTGTCGTGTTGCACATGCGACAAGGGTTCATCCGCCCTCTCCTGTTACCATCGTACCCATGGATACATAGATGAGGTAAAATCTGCATGTACTGTTCGCTTGCGGAACGCTGTTAGTCACCTGCTCTATCCGCGACAACATCAACACGACACGACCAGTCCGCGATTGGATTTCGAACAAGTCCTAGAACAGCAAACATACTTGTACGCATAGCATGACCCTAGCCAATGCTTGGCGACGACGCATATACCGGTGAGTGCACAATCTACTACGTAAGCCCGCTTTGTTAGTTATTGTCTGCAGGGCAACACGGAACGCGGGCGCTGCTTGGCTGCTGCTAGCGCCGCAGGCTGCGAAGACGACAGCAGCGTGCAGGGCTGCAGACCAACCACAGCAGCAGCAGCAGCAGCAGCAGCAGCAGCGGCGGCAGATGTGCAAGACTGCTGTTGCGAGTGGAGGTGCTGCCATCGAAACCGCTGCACCGAGGCATAACGCAAAACCAAGCCGCACACTGGGATGCGAGAGTCTCTCTCAGGAGAAGGAGGCTTGGAACGTAGATAGAGGGGGAAGCTACACTTGTGGGTGGCCCGTGACCCGATGATCCGATCCGGTCATCGACATCTAAATCTCGCCGCAGCGTACCTTGTACTTGTAGTAGTTTTCGGAAAAACATCTCTCGCCTATGTCGGCAAACGATCGGCAACAGCAGTAAAGAGCGAACTGGGGTCTTTTTGAGGAGGCTGCATCCATCCGCAGTAGTAGCGTTTCCAAGGACGTCGTGCTGAAGGGTATTCAGACTTTCTCTTCCCCCCGGCTGATGAAGACAAGCGGCGTTTTGTCTTCGTGGAACAACACTACATACCAGCTGTACGCGTATGACGGAGACACAATACGGAGCAACCTTGCGGACGATGTAACTTGAATGATATAAACAATCCGCGGCTATCAAACACATCAACACCGAGAACCATCGCAAACGAAGACCACGGGGGCCGTAGACTGCTCTCCTCGCCTCCAACACGCACCTCGGCGGCTGCTTCTCTCCACCCTATCGCTGAAAACAGCAGGGGTCCGGCGGCGGCGGCGGCGGCGGCAGCGACCTTCATCTTTCTGCAGCAGGCCAAGAATCCGTCTCCCCGGCGTGTCAAAGACCCTCCAGCCTGATAGAGCCGCCCGACTCTCGAATGGGGCACGCTATAACAACCCTCTATGCTTCCAGGGGGGAAGTTCCTCTTGCGGCGACGAGCGAGAGAGCGGCACCTTTCGAGTTTCCGAGTTCTTTGGGGGGCTCCACGGTTGGTATTAATATATTCCGAGCGGGGACTGTAAGGCGGATTCCTTCGCGGCGCCTCCGGCTGACACACACAGCAGGAAAGTTGGGCTGTGGGGTGCTGCTCCGGGTGCTGTTGCTGTGTCATGTTGTCGTTGTTGTTGTGAATACAGGGAAGATTTCTCACCCCGAGGGAGCGCGGTCTTCGAGGTCAAGAAAAACAGAGAAGGCACGGTGGTGACCATGTCTACTGCACAACAGCAGTAGCTGAAAAAACCTCAGGGCTCCGTTCCCGGAAACATGACGATCTTCCAATCTTCCGATCTGCTTTTGCCATCTTCCAACGATCTTCAGAGGGCAAAAAAACGGCTCGATTTGAAGTACTTCATCGTCAAGAAATTTACATGTAGGAAAAGGTCCCAGCAGACACGACCCGCAATAGCAGACGATATTACTGCAAGCGGAGGACGGTGTACTCAAGATTCCCACAAACCGTCACTTCTTGCCGCACCACACCACCCGACCTGTCTGTGCCGAGGAACGCCACAAGACGTACATCAACGATTTCTACAGTGGCTGGCACACGATAAATACGGTACAGGTACATCTCTCTCCACAACATACCTGGTACACATTCAAGCGGTTTTTCCGTACCCTCTGTGCCAAAGACCGCGACCCGTGCGGTGTAGCCGATCCGTGCCATAAAGACCCGCATTCCTGTGGTTGTCTTGAATGCGTGGACATCAATCTCATCGATCACACCCGTATCGCCTGACCGACATTATTATTACGACACTTCTACACCCCGCCGTTGGCTGGACGGGCGCAGGATAGGAGTGCTACCATTTGCCTTTCCCAGACAACGCCTCAACACTTGGCGCATTTACTCTACATATCTATCTATCTTCCTCTCCTCGGATATATGCAACGTGCGTAGTAGTGCGTGCTACGCGCCGGAGACAGCCCGCTTTCTAGCGTTTCCGGCTCTCACTCAATGAGCCTGTTGCCGGCTTCACTCATGCGTGTCGCTCATACGCGCGGGGCGTACGCTCTCTGCGCTTCTATGGCCCTCATCGCACCTTCTTCACGTGCGCGCATACACTGTGTGCTGCATCCGCTGGCAAACCAAAGCTTCAAATCCAGCTTAGCTGTCGCTCCCCCCCACCCCCTCCTGTGTGAAACTGAGGCCGATAATCCCCCGCCCGTGGGGTTTTAGTCTAGTCAGTAGGATGGATTCGTTGAGGTGTGGTTGGCCCTTGTGGGATGGAGCTGTAAACCTGCCGCGTTCGGCCTGGGGGGTGTTTATGCGGGTGTCTACGATAAGCTTGTGGGCTTCGGTCCTGGAGTGCGCACCCCGTAGGATGTCCGCTGACCACACTTGGGTAGTTGGAACGCCCTATTGTAGAGCAAAACTCTTACTCGAGTAGTCTATGACCCACTCCATCTGGAAAGCATAGTCTACACTTGGGCAAAAGGCCAGATACTCCAAGTGTATCGCACAGGACACGCCGTGTTCGCGGTGTGTGGCGCGCCTGTTTCATACCAGCGCGCAAAGATCGAAGTCCCACACCGTACTTGAAGTACAAAGGCCTACCGAACGTGAAACGTTTGGTTAGCCGGGACGCCCAATCAACTAACGGCATATCTTGTTTGGCACAGCAAATGCAAGGATGACGACCAGCTTCTGGTTCATCCGCTGTGAAAGTTAGCCTGGGCCGGCGAATAACCGGTGTACCGCTCCGTCGCGGCATTGTAGAGATCCGAGGTCAACGGCCTACGACTACGGCATCCGTTTACATGTAATACACCCCCCGCGCCCGCGTCTCCGCGCCCCGTTCGAACAGCCCATATTCTGCCTCAGCATCTCCGGCAGGATCCCCACAAATCCCTGCCAACGGACGTCTCGTCTCGTCCACAGCCATCACTCGATGCCACCGTCTGGTGCCGCGAGGGACCACGACATCTTCGCCATAACCGGAACTCCCTTTTCCAACCGGTTCTTGACAATCGTCGCGTCCATTTTCTGCATCATTAAACTGTTCATGTTTGTAGGAGGGGCGGGAACATCATTTGATTGCCAATTGAGCGGAAACTTCGCGACATGGCAAAAGCAGCACAACAACGCCACGGCGGCGGAGTCTAGATCCAGGGGGAGGAATGTTCTCGTACGAGTTTTGACGTGGTGAAACCGTCGCGACCAACGGGAACTAAGAGGTCAATTCCAGCGAATCCGATAGCATGCTGCGCGATGTTTCCTCGCGTTTTCTCTATCTCTGTTTTACAATGATGTTCGTACTACGTGTGCATCGACTTTCTCCGCATACTTCAGGGTCTTGATCGAGGTATTATGCTACAGGTAAAGTGGCCACGCACCTTGGAATGGTAATGTCTGCGCCGGAGCCATCGTCTCCAACTGTCGGACCGAACTCTTCACAGTGTAAATTGCCAGACATGGAGCAGATACCACTCGCTGCATCGCTGCACTGGCACATGTCGTCTGCAAATAGTACACCGACTGCGCCCAGCTTTTGCGCCCATCGGGTCTACGTCCACACAACAAGCAAGGGAAAATACGTACAAGCAAACAAATAATCAAACCGCGGGAGAGTAGATGAGGGATAAACACGCAAGTCTTGCAACACAAATGCTCAAAAGCAGAGAGACGGAGTCGGGTCGGGGGGCGAGGCTATCGGAAGGAGTACATCACACATGTAAGCTCGAGAGGGGGGAGACGGAGACGGAGACGGAGAGGGAGGGAGGGAGGGAGGGCAATAGAAGGGTATCACAAGCACGTAATTCTAGTCTATACAGAAGCTCGAGAAAGAGAGAGAAAGAGAGAGAAAGAGAGAGAAAGAGAGAGAGAGAGAGAGAGAGAGAGAGAGAGAGAGAGGGAGAGAGAGCTTTCGGAGGAGTAACGTTTTCGACAGCAAACCAAACCCAGGTCGCTGTCATTGATCGCGTTCGAGCCAAATGGTGTTTGTTTGGGGTCGCCCTTGACGCTATCCGGTACTACACACACCCTTTTGATCTTCCCAGACGGACTGTTTGCCACAACCAAATAGATGGGTACCAACAGATTCACGTTACAATGTGAAGGGTTCCAACGAGCTCGTTAGGTGGGTGATAGCCAGAAAGAACACTGTGCATGCATATCGGGCCTCGGGTCGGCCCTACCTACGCACGTACGTCCTTTGGTGGACCGGACATAAAAGTGGAAAAAATCGAATCGAAGTGGGGAAAAAACCCTCCGGAGAGAAAATCGAACCAAAAACATTGTCAAGGTTCATGCGAGATGAGTTTGGAAGATCACACCGAGTACCTAAAGACTTGTGTGCGACGCACATACTTCTACAGCTTTCAACTCTTGGGTGCGTGGAAACGTTTCGGTCACCGGCCATCGCATGCAAGACAACCTTCAGCCAAGCTGACCCACCACGTGGGAACACGGGAGTTTACCGTAAATGTCTAGACCGTACAGTGCTTCGGTGACGTAGGTATGCCCGTTTCTCTTGACACGAGAACGACGAGATCGATCGAAACGCTCCGCACTATGTACACCACGAGCCGTCGCGAAAAAAAGAAACATCCGGAAACGAACGACCCGAAAGAAGAGACAGATACACATTCTCCAGGCACAACAATATCAAAGCGGAGAATCACGAACAGAAGGACTCGACAGACCTTGGTGACGAAGGTGCACTCTCCTCGATCAACCATGAGGATGAAGGGAGAGGAATCCGGCGGTAGAATCGGAAGCACAAGCTCGGCGTCCTCGATGCTGCACAGGGTCCATGCTCTCACCGCTTTTCCCGGCTGCACGCCCCCGTGGATGACCCTCTGAGCGAAAGGGGGGGTGGGGGTTCGGGAGGGGGGGGGTCGATCGCTAAACGCCCCGTTTTTGTCGGCACGGTTATTCCACAGAACCCCCTACAGCCTTGATCCCTCTCGGGGGCCGAGAACTGCTTCTGCTGCTTCCTCTGCTGCTTCGCCAGCGGCGGCACCAGCAATCCAACTTGCGCCGAGTCACATGCGTGATGCAGCTGGGGGGCAAGGGGCGAAGAGCGCACCCATCTCCACAAACAACACACGGGGAGGCAACGATCCATTGATACGGATGACATCACGATTTTTCACATGTGGTAGTAAGAGTACGCCCCCCCAACCCGAACGGATGACGGGAGGATGGGTCCATATAGGAGTAGCAACCCGGCTACGCGCACAAATCGTTGGGCACGGGACGGATGGCACGTGTTCTTCTCTTCTTGCCTCCTCCCACTTTCTTGCGGGAAACATGATGGTGCCTCTGTAGTCCACACGCACACACAGGTAGGTGATGGGCCCTACCTCGGCGATGACCCCACCGTACGGGTGGTGTGGTCCGAACAGGGCCTCCTCGTGCTCATAACCCAAGGCGCGGGACAGGGCTGTCGGGAGGGGAAACTGCAGCCTAGAAACGACGGTCTGCGTTGTCGTCTGATGACCACCGCACGCCACGGGAGGAAGAAACAGCACATATGGTTGGAGGAGCGCGCGGGGTGTGTGAGACGAAGTGGAGGGCCGGACGAGTAGTAGGAACAAGGTAATGATTCGCGCAGACAGCACACGACAGCGCAGACAGCAAGCACATGACGGGTTTCCTCCCCAATAGGGATCTGGCACGACCTGCCGCCCACGGGCGACGGCACAACAAGCTGCAAGCAGACCGCCACATTGGGCGTCCACAACTTTCTTGGCCGGCCGTCTTATCTGCCTTGTCCGTGAGACTCACGGAGTGAATTGAACCAGGCCGATCGCTTCGTGGCAATCACAATCAGCGGGCAAGACGATAACAAATCTCTCTCACACGCCACGGGCAACGCGTGACGGGCCGTGGTATGTGTCCCTGGATCGACCCTCTCACCCTACGTTTGGGGCAAATGCATGCACGAATTTTTCTACCCTAAAAATATCTGCACCAGGTAAGTACTGTAGCCCTTGGTAGGTTTGCCGGGCGCGAAACATGAACTGCAATAATAATGTAGCGCATAGACTACTTCGTCTATCTGTCTCGATTTCGGGGGAGAACACCACGAGCGGATCGTATGATGCGTTGTTCCCCGTTCTGGCGTATCATTCGCTCTTCGGAATATGCATATGCTGAAGTGTGTAAATACGCGGATTGAAGACGGTGTGAACATGACCGCCGGGGTATCAGCGATTGATTCATTCTTCAGGCCGGGGTATCTTCAAGCCTCCAACCTCTTCGAGTACAATGTACAATAGCACACCCAGATATAAAAACGTCCCAGTGACAGATATTCCCACACACATGTCGTCTTGTATCATCGCGGGCACACGTACCTCGGCGGCTGCGTCTTTCCATCCTATGCAGATGCACAGCAGCGGTATCGCTGAACACAGGTGTGGTCCGGCGGCAGCGACCTTCATATATTCTGTCGACGATAGGAAGAAACCTAATCTCCCCGCTGTGTGCTCGACACCCCAGCCCGATGATTCTCCCAGTCTCGACGGCTCAAAGCACGATAGGTGCCTGACACCTGCTGTATGGGCTATGATGTGCGCACTAAATATGCGAGAAAGGCCGAGCTGGGCAGTCCTCCAGTACCTCAGATTGCTTATGTGCCTACGACTTGGTCGCAACTAAAGTGGCTGTCTCCTGCCGGGAAAACTATTTATCGGAATATTCCATGTGCGGGAAGGTGCAGCTCGTGCACCACGCGACCTAGCTTTTTACCCCTCTTGCGCCGCGGCGTAGGCTTACACGTCCAGTAACCTAGCGCTCAAACAATGCATATCTTTTGGTCGGGTTGGTGTTAGGGACATGCTGCTATTGGTTCGGAACGGTGGTGGAAAAAAACGACCAAAGTTTGATGATCGTGCAACCAGGAATCATAAACCGTTTCACAGTTTTCCATCCGACCAAGTCGTAGACGCCCCGCCAAAAGAAGTATTTAAAACTCAACTCAATGCACCGCTCTAAGATCCTTTTCCTCCGATATGATGTGGGACAGCCAGCCGCTGCCGCCGCTGGTGTGATTCTGTTGTCGTCGTGTGAGGGGAGCGAGAGGATGGTCACGACCCCCTTTTCACTTTTTTCGGCGCCTTTTGTCCGGTACCATTCTTTTTCCAGTCTGTGTACCACATCACACAACACAGAGAATCAGTTTGTGGTTGCTTTTGCTATATATTGGTATTGAAATTGTTGTGAAAACAGGGAAGAGCGCCCAGCCTGAGGGAACGCAGTCTTCGAGGTTGAGGACCGTAGAGAAGACGGCCAGTTGTTGGTTCCGATTTCCAACTTCGGAGAAAACTATGAAACGATCTCCATCTTCCGACGATCTCCGGGGCAAGTAACGGCTCGAATATTTAACCACCCCCGCAGACGCCACCTGCCAAAGCAGCTGAGGATGCTGCAAATGGAGGAGGGCGCATTCAAGATTCCCGCAAACCGCTACCTCTGCAAACCCGACCTGTGCTGAGAACGAGACAAGGCGCACACCAACGGTTCGCTGTGCCCACCATCAACATAAAAATTTCAGCTTGTTGAACCAGTACAGTAGCGCGCCGTTGAAAATGGATCGTCGCTACAACATTAAATTTCAGTACGTAAGCATTACCTTTATTGTTTCACAACCTGGTACAGCTATTCACTATGCAACAACTTACGTAGTGGTTAAAAGCAGCAGCATACCATAGGACAACGCGTCTGCTGATGTTATCCGGGGAAACTACGAGCAAGAAAACACGAAGTCTGCATGCGAGGCCACCCGAAACCTCTGCTTGAGCGGTCGTGCCCACCCCCAACGCTTTATTCACTCGATCAAAACGTTTCTGCTTGCCTCGACCAACCGACTTGGGCCATGATGGAGATGGCAGTACCCGTGCTTCACATGTTTCAGTCATGCTTTGTATGACAAAATCTCATAGACCTTCTACAGTACAAGGGACGGTCAACGTCGCTCGAACCCGACCTAGACTATGGTACAGCATGTCCCTGTAGATTGTCGAGCTACAGCGCCACGACATGTAGACTATTGCTATTCTTCATAAGAACACTCATCTACGGTACGATGGGCTCGACTTCTTCAGAACAGATTAAGGCCCCGTGGAACACGTCGGTTTTGATATGCCGGTTGTTGAAGGTTTTACGAACCACCGAATAAAACACACGAAGAGAATACACCTAACCGCATACAAGAACATTTGGTATCTCCCGCAGAGGGACCAACAACTCGAGCCTCTCGAGCAAAGCCACCAACTTCCCTTCAGTACAGTATCCAACATACTGTAGTCTTGAATATCTGGACACCAAGCTCGTCAAACCGGAACCCCTGCCGCCACTGTTGTGCTTGCGACATTTCTTCTACCTCGCTCTTTGATAAAGGAGGAGTGCTACCACTTGCTTCCCAGACAACGCCTCAAACTTGACGCATTTACATCATATCTATGTACCTTCCTTCCCGGATATTTTGCACGTGGACGCGTGTTACGCTCCGGAGCGCTGCCCCCTTCTAGCGTTTCTGGCTCAATAGGCCTTACGCCGGCTTCACACATGCGCATCGCTTATGCGCACTCGGGTGTACATCTCTCCGTGCTCCTATGCTTATGGCCCTCCTGCTTAGCAGGTGCGTAGGGCCTTTTTCACACGCGTGTGTACGCTGAGTGTTTGTAAATTACATGTATGTATCCAGAGGCTAACCTAATCTACAATCACAGCTAGCTGTCGCTTTTCGCCCCCCCCCCACGAATCGCGGCGGCCGTTTACATGGCTTCCCCCCTCCCACCCCCCCCAACCCGCGTCTCCTTGCTCCTTCGAAATAGTCTCATCTTCTATGTACCTCAGCATCTCCCGCAGAATCCCCACAAACCCCTGCCAACGGGCGTCTCGTCTCGTCCACAGTAATCACTCGATGTCGCCATCAGGTGCCGGTACGGGCCACGACATCTCCGCCACAACCGGAATCCCCGTTGCCAGCCGGCTTTTGACCATCCTTGCGTCCATTTTCTTCATCATAAAACTGTGCATGTTTGCAGGGGGGGCGGGATGGTCCTTTGAGTCTTGACTGCGCCACATCGGCAACAACAACAACAACCACGCCTCGGTGTCGGCGGCGGCGGCGGCGGCAGGATAGAGCGAAAACGCGCGGCCGTCATGAGTTCCGCGTGCTTCTCGCTTGGAATCATGTGAGCCGGTATATGCGTTTTTCTAGGTGGCAATGGGGAGAAAAATGTTTTCGTGCGCAGTTGTGGCGGTGAAACCGTCCCGGTCAACAGGAACAACACATCACTGATAGCGAGTCCGAGAGCGTGCTGCGCATCATCTTCTCACGTTTTCTCTCTCCATGATGTAGAACAATGCGCTGAGCGAGCGTGCATCTACTCTCCCCACACAAAACTCCAGCCGTCTTCCACCCTCTATTCGAGTTGTAATAATAGGTAAAGCCGCCACCGCACCTTGGAATGGTAATGTCTGCGCCGGAGCCATCGTCTCCAATTGCCGGACCGAACTCTTCACAAGGCAGACTGCCAAACGTGCCAAACGTGGAGCAGACACCAATCGCTTCATCGATGCAACGGCACGTGTTGTCCGCAAAGATCACACCGACTGCGCCCAGCTTTTGTGCCGTTCGCACCTGCATCCACAAATACGGTAAGGCAATAAATCAAGAATCGAACCGTCGGAAAATTATGAGGGACTATGTAGCACGCGCGTCGTTGCAATACATTTCCCTATGCATAAGAGTAGAGAGACGGGGGTGGGGGGTGGGGGGGGAAGACTATAGGAAGGCGTAGATCACGCAAGCGAAAAGTATAACAAGGATGTCATCCTAAGTCTGTACAGCACCTCGAATCTCTCTCTCTCTCTAAGAGAGAGAGAGAACGGATTATTTTTTAATGCTTTCGACAACCTTTGAAACGATTGTTGTCATCGATCGCCTTCCAGCCAAACGGCATTTGTTTGGGATCTTCTTTGACGCTGTCCGGCACTGCACAGAGAATCAATGTCCACACACCCAAGACCTGACCGTTTGTCACCACCAAATAGATCCGCACAATAGAATCGTAACCACGTAGTCTGGAGGGTTCCCACCTCAACTTTACGAGGGCGATAGACAGAATGCCGTGCATGCACATCGGGCCTTGGGTCGGCCCTACCTAGGGACGTACGTGTTTCATCGGCCTTTGGCGATAAATGTGGCCGGACAAACTCGAACGAGGAACAGAGATGGTTCGCATCTATCGAATAAACTGATGGCGTAGGTACGGCTTTTGTTGCCGCGACAAGAATGCTATCGATCGAAACGCTCCCCACTACACCACATGTCGTGACCAAAAAATGAAAACCCGGCAACGATAGACCGACAGAAGATTGAATATTCCAGCCGCAACAAGCATCAATGCGGAGAATCACGAACAGAAGGACCCGGCATACCTTGGTGGCGAAGGTGCACTCTCCCCGATCAACCATGAGGATGAAGGGAGATAAATCCGGCGGTAGCATCGACAGCACAAGCTCGACATCCTCGCTACTGCACAGGGTCCATGTTCTCACCGCTATCCCCGGCTGCACGCCCCCGTGGATCCTCTGCGCGAAACGATGGAGGGTGTTCGGGAGGGGTGGGGTCGATCGCTAAACGCCCCGTTTTTGTCCCCGCGGTTTTTCCGTAATAACCTCAAAAGGCTTGGTCTCTCTTGGGGGCCGACAGCTGCTGCTGCTGCTGCTGCTGCTGCTGCTGCTGCTGCTGCTGCTGTTTCTGCTGCTACGCGAGCGGCAGCACAAACAATCCGACTGGTGCCGAGTCGCATGCGCGACGCGACTGGGGTGCAAGATTCGAGTGGATCCATCTCCACAAACAACACACAAGGTGGCAACGAGCCATGGCGAAAAATACCACGATTTTTCACATCTATGTATTGGAGTGCAACCGACTTCGCATAGTCGTTGAGCACGAGATGGATGTCGCGTGTTCTCCTCTTCCCCCTCCCCCCTTCTTTCCGGAAACATGGTAGTCTACACGTACACCCATCCATGCGGTAAGGCTTACCTCGGCGATGGTCCCACCGAACGGGTGGCGTGGTCCGAATAGGGCCTCCTCGTGCTCATAACCGAAGCCGCGGTACATGACGGCCGGGAGAGGAAACTGCAGCCGAGAAGCGACGGCCTGTGTTGTCGTCTGATGGCCACCGCACGCCACGCGATAAAGAAATAACACAGGGTTGGAGGAGCGCGCGGGGTTTGAGAGACGAGGTGAAGGGCCGGACGAATACTGCGGTCTAACAGCTGCTCCGCTCGCAGAGATTCTGGCAGAGTATGTGCTACGTATCGAGGGTGCTCGCCCCGCTGAATGTGGTAGATGTATGTAGTACGTAGTACAACAGAGATTCTTCGTGGCAATCACAAATGCCTCTCTCGCGCAAGCTTGTGACTGCCGCTTCTGGGGAACGGCACACAGTCGGGGGGCAAGATCATACCGAACCTCTCCCACACGCCACGGGCAACGCGCGAGGGGGTGGGGGTTATCCCTGGATCGACCCTCACCTTTGGACGAAAACGAAAACAAGTCTACATTTTACAGAAAATATGCATCAACACACAGAAGAGGCTTCAACAGTCAGTCGAAGGGGATGTGTTGAAGTCTACAAAAATATATATTTTGTAGGAGTGTGGACGAATAAGTAACACATCGATTCGGGGAGGAAAGTACACACCTATGTATTCCTGATTTGGGCTTTCGGCTACCTTGTTCTTGCGGGTTATTGATCAATGGCAGAGATCTCTTGAATATATGTAGAGGGTGTGATAATGATGTATTGGTGTTGGTTCGGTGTCATGGGTGACAAGTGATTGTGCTACACCAAGTCCGGGGTCGTCACTGTACGATATATAAACTATGCCTCCAGAATCACATCGACTCACCATTTGTGACATACACATCATCACCATCATCTCTACGCGTCATAGGTATGTAGGCATGCACTGGTCTTTTACTCAGCAAGAAGATGCCTGCGAGAGACCGAGGCATAGCAATACCGCTGTTTACGTTTGACTATGTAGATAGAGTCTATTTGTACAGAACATGTAGTACTAGAACCTGCTGCTGCGGAACAGGCCGCCCCACACACACACATTGATTGGTTGGAATGACGACTTGATAACACATGAAAGGACGTAAATACTGGGATACTTCTACACTGCACAACGGATGCAAGCCTCTTGAGCCGCGTTCCAGGACAACTTGCCATCATCTACCTGGTTGTTTAGGCTTCTAGACTGTACGCGTAGCACAAAAATGTGTCACTAGAGTATAGACTAAATGTACTGTTGCTTTTTCATTGCGTTGCACTTCGCCCGATAGATGAAATTGCCTCGGCATGGGCGATGTGAAGATTGGGCACGTGCTGGCTACAGTAGGTACAACTTTTGATGGAAATTCTTGTCTATTGATGGAAATTCTTGTGGTGTGCCTACAGTTCCTGACAACCATATGTGGACTTTTAGGGGTGTTGGCATTTAGATACAGGCACACGCAATACAATCGCACAGGGATCTGTTGTGTTCCCGTTCTGGCGTGTATTACTCGCCCGTGATGACACCGCAGCCATTCATACGTCCCTCGCGCAGAGGATAGCTACGCTGCCTGCGGAATAAGGAGACCGTCCGTCGCATGCGCAATCCGATCTTTCTACAACATAATACATGCTGTGGGTTGATATTATTGAAGAAGGAAATATTATTGCTCGCAGATACCCCGGCCGCCTTTTAAAGGTCTGGTGCGAATTAATGTGTTTACTTCCATCGTCATCGTACGCCATAGCAGACTGCATACATAAACGCCCAAAGCAAAGCCCCGCGGCAGATAGATATATGTACCCAAACACATGCACATCGTATTGGTACATCGGCATGTTTTCGTGGAAATGACCTGGCCGTGTGGTGACATCGCGGACAAACACACCTGATGATCCACTCCAACGGTCCATCCTATGCACAGCAGTAGCAGCGCCGCAGCAGCAGCAATCTTCATATTTCTCTCGACGATGGGAAGAAACCTGGTCTCCTCGCTGTATGCGCGACACCCCAGCCCGATGAAGCCCCCCAATCTTGATGGCTCAAAGCACGATGGGCGCTTGACACCTGGTGTGTGCTTGATGTATGTGCACTCTTACCGGGAATGTCCAAGCGGGGCCTGATCGGGTGATCATTCCAAGTGAGAATGATTTTCCGGGAAAATTCCAGATGAGAAGCGAGAGAGAGCTTCCACCGTGTAGAGATGTGAGATTTGTTCCAACGGCGGGAGAAGGGGCGGAGACGTGACAGCAGAAGTGCGGGGGTTATAGGTTGCACGTAGAGGCAGCATCAGTGGGGGGCAGGTTGGATGATCCCTAGATTTTCTCGGGCCACTCTTGCATTGCGTGACCGGAGACATCAGAGTTCCTACACCACATGCACACGTAGTCTAAGCATCATCTGCTCTGCATACACAAACAACAAACAAACAAACGGACATGCGGCGCGTGGGAATGTCGGCACCCGCCCGAGATATGATATTCATCTTCACGCCACCGGCGGTACGTTGACCTTGTTGTCGAGAACACACACAGGACCGCGCGCAAAACGTTCCCGGTAATTTCTGAACATGTGAGGATCAACGACAACAATTGCTACGGAGTACAAATAATTCAACTCACACCCCACGCAATACGTGCGGTGCGGATCCAAACTTGCCTGAGTGCTGTTGCTGGGCCTTCGTCTGTGTCGACTTTGTAGACCATATTCTGCATGGTACAAGTACACGCTGATATGCAGCCTTGCTTACCGATGAACGTTTATTTGTGTCTTTGCTCGCGCCGACGCCCCAATATTTGTTTTCCTGGTCTGTGCGGTTTTCGGCTTGGCCAGCGCAAACATGCACTGAAGTAGCATTCACGAACCATTTGTAGTTGGTTGGTCGAAACCAACCGATTTTTCATTCGTTCTTCGATGCTTCGCGGCCCTCCTTGAAGCGCTCCATTTATTCATTCATACATCCAGGCGTCGGCGTTGAGATACATGCATCGATGAGAGGGCGTTCGACGTCATCTCTATCATACATGTAACTTTGTTGATACTTGTTGCCAGAAACATTTACGGAGCCCCCCTTCCTCTCGAGAGGCTGGTTACCCTTGCCCTTTGCCATTCCTGACAACGAAGTTCCCAACAAGGTGGAGTATAATATGTTTGCCAGTGCAGCCAAGAGAGAGGGAAGCCGGTCTAAGGGAGAACGGGAGGAGGCGGCAATGCCCAAGAACCCAAAAGCTTGCGCAGAGGGCAACCGTCGAGTGCTCCCTCAAGCTCTTTGCGACGTCTCGATCACGAGGTCGACCCAACTACTGCAGCTGAAGGATGAGTACTGAAGGCCGGAAAAAATAGATGCACCGCACCCGAAGCCGTTTTCTCCGATACTGCATTTGGGACAACCCGCCGCTTGTGTGCTTCTGTCGTCGAGAGGAGCGAGGCAAATGATTCCCGGTCTGACCGCCATACCTCCAGACTTTTCATTGCGACGCTGCTTCGACACGTAAGCCCGCCAACGGTTGAGGCGCCAGCTCGCCTGAATGTGTGCATCATCGCCATCGCACCCCGGCATGCACGGATTTGCATGACAACGCCCACACATCTGGAGAACAACATGAAAGGAACACTTCGCACGAGGAGCGTGTCGCATCAAACAAACGTAGCCACCGCGGCACGTCGTTTGCTCGAGTCTAATATACGCGCATTCTTAGCACCACGGCGCCAGACTACGTACCACAATTTTAGTCAGGACATTCTAGTGGGAAATACACCACGTCAATACCATCATCTATTCCTACCTATGAAACCTTACCTACGCAAATATACGATCTTGGCGAAGCAAAACAACTGCATTGTTTGTTCCATCTGCCGGAACACAACCTGATGCACCGAATCAGAAACGGCAGCAACATTAGTAACAACAGAACCTGCAAAACTTGCCCTATGGCAGGTAGGTGTCTCCGCCACACTCCCCACAGCCATTTCGCCAAACCTTGCGGGCCGACTGATCCAATTCCGCGGGAGCCAATAAACAGAAACCACGAAACAAGCGTCGCGAACCGCTCAAACAATAACAGCAATGGACACGGCCAGACAATCCCTATATACCTTTGACAAATGCACCTCGCCCGCTGAACGTGTGTCGGGTCGTCGCAATATCGCCGGCGGATGGCGCGGCTCCTCAAACCAAACAAAAAACAACGGCCTTCTTTGCTCCTAGAAAATTCTCCGGTATTAGAATTTTCCAACGATCCCAACACCGGCACAGCCGTAAAGATGGGGACACCAAAGCCAACTCGCAAGGTTGCTCATAAACGGTTTCCAACCTTGAATCAAGGCACAGCACAATGTCAGCGGTTTCCGCGCAACCAACAGCTCAACCAACAACAACCCTCGCGTTAACGCTCGACGCCGATATCGTCGGCAAAGAAATATGTTTATTGTGCGCTTGGCATCAGTAATGTTTCTCAGTGAATGATCTTGGCGACCGTCGAAACAACAAGTCGAGTATCACGGGGGAGGGGGGTGGGGGGGGGCAACAACTGGCGCATTCTGCGACTTTTCCTTTCGCCTAAACACACGCGCGCGCGCACCGATCGATACTTGAAAGGGCTAACCTAACCACACCGTTCGAAAACCAAGAGGCCACTAACGGCCTCTATGCATGTATGTATGTATCAACAATTGAGCAACGCCACGTCGCTTGATCATCATGACAGACACTTTTCTTTCCACCCGTCCGCAACTCGTGTGCCTATGCCACACCAGCCCATAGGTCGTGAGACGGGTCGCAAGAGGAAGACACCCTCGTCCATACAATCTAAAGCATTGATGACACCGAAACCGTAGCATTGTTCCTCCTTCCGGGATACATACAATGTGCGTTGGCTTACGTGGAGCTGTCGCCCCTCTCCCTCTTTTTTTTTTCCTGGCGCAATCCGATGTCCTCTTCAACTCCGCAGTGCTGCGAAATATCCAGGCGTGCAGCCGATTCCGGGTCCCCGAGAGAGCATGCCGCCCGCTCTTGACCCATACGCACAAACCCGCACCCACGCGCCCGCTTCACCCTAGCTGCTTTGGACGGAAAGCCGCGTCGTGCGCTCCGGTCGCAAGCATGCTATGCCGCCACCTCTTCGTTCTCCTCTGTCCCGCCATCCTTCTGCGCGACCACCACCGGCTCATGGTCGTCGTCTTCGCCTCCCAGGGCTGGTTCGCCCCCTTCATCCTCAACAACCCCCGGCGACGCCCCCTCTTCCATCGACGCCTCTGCGTCTACCGGCGCCTCTGCCACCGCCACTGCCTCGGCCACCGCCTCCGGCTCTATTTCCTCTTCCTCCTTCTCCTCCTCCTCCTCCTCTTCCTCTTCCTCCTCCTTCTCCTTTTCTGCCGCCGCGGCCTCGGCCTTCGCCTTCTCCTCCGCCGCCTCCGCCTCCGCCTCCGCCGCCTCCGCCTCCGCCGCTTCGCGTTCCGCGCGGCTGCCGGCTTCCAGGGCTCGCTCCAGCTCCAGTATGTCCTCCTCCCCGCCGAGGAACAGCCCGGTCTTCTGGCGCAGCGTCTCCGGGTAGATGTCGAGCACCCTCTCCCCGTGCCCATCGACGGCCCTCCCTCCCGCCTCCTCCACTATGAACGCCAGGGGCGACGACTCCCCGAGGACGGTGAGGCCCCCCGTGCGGTCGCCGCCGTACTGGTCGCTGCCCTCGTCAGTGTCTGGCCGGCCCCAAATGCCTCCTTGCACCTGTGAAGAGAGAGAGAGAGAGAGAGAGAGAGAGAGAGGGAGAGAGAGAGAGAGAGAGAGAGAGAGAGAGAGAGACACACACACAGAGACGACAGAGAGAGAGAGAGTGTGTGTTGTCATGTTTCAGGAGAGATGTGAAGTTTCCACATCACATTGGGAATTTCGAACGTTTTTCTCCATAATAATTTCGACGCGAAACGGTCTCTCTCGTTGTGTGGCATCCTTGTTATGAAACCCCTTCTGGAGTATGTTTTCATACTCTCATGCATACCAGGCGTCACAATTAGGTATCGCGCATGCCAGTTTTGCTAGAATTTGTTTCGCCAACTCAAACAAATTCAAATGGCGAATGTACTGGTTGTCATCGCCCCCATGTTTGTGGTGATATTGATCGATTCTCAGACGGCATCTTGGTCGAGACGAGATTTAGGCCGGGAAGGATTTTTCGTTGGAATCGGAATGCTCACAAGGCTAACGCCACGAAGGAGACGGGAGGGAGTAGCGAAGGGGACGAGAGGAGCTGGCCACACGAGAAGGCTTGCAGACCTCCATTCAGCTGTACACGCAGCTGTCCTCGGAAGGAATCAACCCAGCATAGCTAATGCTCTCCGACAGCAAAAGTACGCCCATGGCGGCGAGATTGTGGCCGACGCAGCAAGCCCACCGTTTTTCACGGAAATTTCTTGACGGAATCCCGTCACACTCGCTAGAAAGGGTGCCGTGGTAGAGCTAGAAGCGGGGCAATAAATAATAAGCACATCGACAACGGAAACTGCGCCATCGCAGTCTCACAACGATTTCCAACCTGGCCTCTTAGCCTTTTCCATACTTCATACACCAAGAAAGAGAGGAAATAACACAATCCTGGCTTCGCCTGATCAGAATCTTGAGCTGTTTCTCTTCCAGCGAGGACCGACCAACACCGAACAACACAACGACACACACCACTACAGCACACGCGCACACCCGCGATCCCAACAAAAAAGCGCGGGGTCCTTGCTTACCAGAGTACGGTGCACGTCTGCCACGGCCGAGCCGACGAGGCGGTACCCGAACTTCTTCCCCGACTCCCCCTCGCCGCTCCGCAGTTTGTCGATGTGCTCCTGGAGCGCCTTCGGCCAGGTGTCTCTCCGGCTCTCATCCAGGGAGTAACCGCTGCCACGCTGTGCAGAAACAAAAAAAAAGAGGCATTAATCTCATCGCATAAACACTCACGCAAGCGCGAACAACTGTTGTGTTTGTCTCTCTCCGTACACAAACAACGGCCACCATGTGTGAACGAAAAATGCACGCTGCAGCGTACCCCACAAGACACGCGCACCCAAGCAAGCACGCAAGGAAGCAAGGAAGCAAGCACGCACCGACGGTATCCTCATGTAGGGCTTGGTGAGGATGAACTCTCCGACGGAGGAGTCTAGCGTGAAGCCGTGCACCCCTTGCCCCTTCACCGCCAGCACCAGCTCGCAGCTCCCGCTGTATCTGATCGGCCCGAGCGGAGGAGGAGGTAACGAACGTTCGGGGGGAGACAACGGCACGAGAACGGTCAAACTCCGAAATGGGCAAACAATATGAGACAGGGGGGGGGGGGGGGGGGGGGGGGTTAACCCCCCCGGTTTCGGGGGCCTCCAAAAAGGGGGGGGGGAAAAAAGGGAAACCCCCTTTTTAAAAAAAAACCACCCCCCGCCTCCCCCCCCCCACCCAAAAAAGGTTTTGAAAAAAAAAAATCGGGAAAAAAAGGGGAGCCGGGGCTCTT